AAACCCTAAACCCCAAACCAAAAAAGTCCCTGAGCTACCCTGGCAGCTTCTTGAGTCGGAACCAGAGGCGCCTTGAGAGCTCCAGGAGCTCGGCCTGCTTTGTCATAGCACAGGGGCCCTTAATAATTAGAATAGGGTTTAGGGTTTAGGGTTTAGGGTTTAGGGTTTAGGGTTTAGGGTGTCGTAGTCCCAGAGAGCCCAATAACCCTTAACTAAGGAATATAGCCTAAATCTACATTACGAAGTCCCTTATAGCTTGAGGTATGTTGATTAATTAAGGGGTATTGGGCTCTCTGAGGTATAGGGGCCTTAATAATTTGGATAGGGTTTTCGGGAGTTCCTTCAAAAGGGTTCCTTAAAGGGTTTTGACGGCTACTACCAGGGTCTAGGGTGTAGGGGCCTCAGTGTAGTTAGAATAGGGTTTTGGTGCCCCTTATATTATAACTATCACAAGGAACCCCCAAATACTATAGGTAGTTGTTTAGGCTTCTATAGTAGCTTGTTTTTTCGAGGGGGGAAGGCTTTAGGGTTTAGGGGGTTAGACTTTAGGGTTTAGGGCTTAGGAGATTAGGGTTTTAGGGTTTAGGGCTTAGGGGTTCGGGCTTTTAGGGTTTAGGGTTTTAGGGTTCAGGGCTTCGGGGATTAAGGCTTTTCGGGTTTAGGGTTTTAGGGCTTAGGGGATTAGGGATTAGGGAGGGGGGGGGGGGTGGGACATGGCTTTAGGATTTAAGGGTTTGGGGTCTTAGGGTTTGCCGTGGAGGTTCCGTGGTTTAGTTGTGTTGCTTTTTCGGCGGCGGCGGGGTCCCTTGCTGTCCCCGTCGTCGTCGCAATCGCAACTGCAAAATTTATGCGCATGTTGGTACTCATGCTCAGACACTGCTGCTGATGACGATGACCTACGGACACGACGACCATGATCATCAGCATTAATTATGGAAGGGCCAAGATGCAGATGCAGATGAGATACGGAAAATGGCGGTGATGGTAAAGATGCGAACAATATTATGATGATGAGTCAGATTTGATGATGACGAAGATGTTGATGACGACGAAGAACATGATGTTGATGTCAGCACGGCTAGTCGAAACAGTAACGCTGTTGCTCCTGCTTCGGGCAAAGGGCATGTTACGAAGAAGTACATCGGGTTTCAGGGCACCTGATCATTCCAGTCACTCGCCATGGCTAGTGCTAAACTCGATGGCATGCCCATGATCAATGCCTGCTGGTGCATCGAGTGCATCAAGTTGTACTTGATGAATCTCGGTGCTGTCTTTGAGTCGTGGACCCAACCTCGGATTACACTTTGGGGGGCTGCGGGTTTCGGGTTTAGGATTTAGGGTTTAGGGGGCCGCGAGTTTACAATTTGGTCAGGAACTCTGCTGCTGTTGGTAGAAACAGGACCAGTGGCAGCAACAGCAGCAGGCCGAACTCGAACCAAGAGTACTACTGGTAGCAGCAACGATGCCAGCATCAGAGCGAAAACCCTTTCTTGTTCACTTTTCGGTTCCGTCGAGCAGCGGCTGAGTGGAACAACGAACTCCTCGACCTCAATGGCACCTCAGAAGAACCACATCCGATGGAGAGCTCGGGTGTAAGGTCGTCGGGGTTTAGGGTTTAGGGTTTCTGGTTGTGAGCGGCTTATTTTGGTAGTTTGTTATTTTAATTGTGGAATAATATTCCCCCAACCCGAGTCTAATTATTGAGGTCCCCACATTAGGTTTTAGGGGTTCGCGGTTTGGGGTTTAGGGTTCAGGGGCCGGATGCTGCAAGTTGCCGGACCATGCATGTAGAATTCAGGTTCAGCTGCTGCTGCTGCTACTTGGAGGGTCAGGGGACGTAGTAAGTAGGTAAGAAGTAGAGTTAGAAGCACCCTAGAAGGAATCCTAATTGGGGTTACTATACTTATAAGGCAATGAATTATCTAGTTACTAAGTCCCCCCACCCTCGAAGCACCACCACAACACACTACTGCTGCTACGGATAGTCCTACCACTGCTGCTACTTCTGTCAGCAACGGCTACTACAGCGGAACAGCGTCATCCCATTTACCTTGGATTGTAACTTCTCCTGTTCTGGGCTGTAACAGGAGATGATCGATTTGGCTGCCGTCTAACAAACCAGGGTGCTCAATGTTGTTGCGCATGCTCTACCGAGCTCTACCCACTCACGAACGGCATGCACTACCACAGCGGGTCCAGGTTAGGCAGTCACCAAAGTTATACACTACTGACATTTGAGAGTGTCGGAAGGATGGTCGTGAAATCCTTCGCGCCGAGCGACGCCATGTGACGCCGAGCCCGCCGAGCGCCGAGCGACGCCGAGCGACGCCGAGCGACGGCGAGCGCCGAGCGACGCCGAGCGACGCCGAGCGCCGAGCGACGCCGAGCGCCGAGTGACGCCGAGCGACGCCGAGCGCCGAGCGACGCCGAGCGCGGAGCGACGGCCTCTTCAGAGCCGCATATGCCGAGGGGAAGAAA